TTTACATTTAGCACTTGTGATTTTTCTCTGATTCTTTACTTTTTGTGGTTCTGAAGCAGCCCTCCTCCTCCCCTACTGAGGCAGACCTGCTGCTTGCGTCTTTTTTTCCTTCGTCCTGAACCTTTTTGCTGCTTAACAAATAAATTTGAGCCTTGGTCAGAAAAAAACGACTGGAGGGTTTTTATATTTTTGGCCCGAGAGAAGGAGGAAACAAATAGTGGACTGAGGGTTATTTTTTTTAAATTGTTTGTTTGTTTGTTTGTTTTCCCCACGGGACGTGTCTCCTCCTTGCGTCACGGCGCTCATCAAATCAGACCGTCATTTAAAAAAATTAAATGTGTCATATACCTTTTATCATAACTTTGAATCTACTTGGCCTAACAACACAATTTAAAAACTGGTTTAAAGTTCAAAGTCTCTACTTTTGACTCGAGGGTCTCAGAGAGGGCGGAGCTTTACAGATAGTTTTTTTTTTCTTTCTAAACTTAATTCAAGTCAGCCAGCATTGACAACGCTCTGTGGGAGACGTAAATGGCTCCGCGACGTGGCGAGGGACGCATAAATTGCGCGACATGACGAATCTGTAAATTCATGGCCAGCGCTTTTAATAATAGATTTTTATCAATTTTATTGTTTCCTTGTTGCAGCTCTAGAACACAGAGTGGTGAAAGTCTCTGTTTCTGATAAATGTTGATATTTTTTGTTCCTCAGACAAACCTCTCACCGACATGAAGCTGCTGGCTGTTGGGAAGCTGTCAAAGAACAAAGACGAGCTGAAAGCTGCCGTCGAGGCGTTGGGAGGGAAGATTACAGGAACCTCCACTGAGGCCTCTCTCTGTCTCAGCTCCAAGAGTGAGTGTTTTACATTTTAAGGATATTTCTAATGTCRTATTTGTGATTTTCACYRCATTTCGTTTCCAGAGGAGGTGGAGAAGATGAGTAAGAAGATGGAGGAGATTAAGGACGCCGGCGTGCGTGTGGTTTCTGAGGATTTTCTCACGGACATCAAATCGTCGGGCAAAGCTCTGCAGGAGCTGATCTCTCTGCACACTATCTCACCCTGGGTTGCAGAGGTTAAAGCTGAAGCTCAGGCTCCGTCCATTAGCTCCAAGTCTGGAGCCCCNAAAAAAGAAGAAAATCGAATAAAGCTGAATTATTACAAGAAGCAGCTCAGTTACTCACCGCTCTGCTGGAACAAAAATAAGCCCAGAAATGCTTCATTGAAGGACACGCAGAAAACATAAACCTGGAGGTCACTGATTTATATTTCGTCTCACAGGAAGGGGTCTGCGTCTCTTTCGGACAGCAGCCCCATGGGGGGTCGTCCGGGCTTGCTCCGGCTTGCGTCCCTCCTTGATGAGGCCCCTGGTTGAACTGGTTTAATGAACGAAGGTGTCAGATTCAGACCTGTTTGTTCCTTCAGTCCCTTTGGTTCTCATTTAGGAACCTAATGTTTGTCCTTGTCGAGTCACACGCACAAAAAAAAAATGTTTATAACAAAAGTTTGGTCTCACAGGAAACGTAAAGGCGATACCATGGACGGAGCAGGAAAAAAACTGAAGACTGAGGAAGATGAGGAGAAGAAGAAGTTGGATGAGCAGCTGAAGGTGGGTTTGCAAAATCCTCCTCCAGCTGTTTTTTTATTCATCAACCTTTTTTAATGGGTTTCCAACATATAATTCTAAATTACCTTGTTTTTGCCTTCATATTTCTAACATTTKATCTGTTTTTATTCTGACTTCATTCATCCAGAGTCAAAGCCAGCTGATTTGGGGAATCAAAGACAAGTTGAAGAAATATTGTTCAGTCAACGACATGAAGGAGCTGCTGATTGCAAACGCACAGGAAGTTCCCTCTGGAGAGTCCAATGTAAGAAAACATTAACCACTGGTTCTCATTAGACCAAACCATAATGGAAGTTTGCCATCTTAAATAGGCTGCATCTGAACAAAGTTACAAACTGCTTCTTACGTTGATAAATATTACTGGATTGGGCGTCACGTGACCTGGGCGTGCTTCGCAAGGGGGATTTTTATGCATTGAGCTAACGCTAAACATTGAAATCAATGAGCAGAACGTAGCGCGGTGCAAACAAACRCTTTATAAATGTACAAATGGTAAAAATACTTTGCTATAACGGCAGAAACAGTTACATGTTTACAAAAGCTAAAAGGGTTATGTTTCACAGGTAAATGTTACACATATTTAACCAAAATTCATTATTTTAATTGTAAAACNTTCAACAATATCAAAATAAAGTGGATGTTATAACCAGTACTTCAAATAAAATTAGTCATTTAGACATAAAAAATTCAATGTTGCCTAAAATGTTATCAGGGTGTCTGCGGGTCCTTAAAATCCTTAAAAAGTCTTAAATTCACATATCTAAAATTAAAGCCTTATAAAGTCTTAAATTTGATAAAAAGTGTGCACGTTGGTCTTAAATTTGTTACTCAAAGGTCTTAAATTTTGTCGGGCAGAAGCGATTAAAAGTTCTCCGTCTCCCCCGACCATCTCTGCAGTGCAGTTCATGTTGAGAAAAGAAAAAACAAACTTGTGTTGTGATGGATTAACTGACGCTGCTGTCAACCAATTAAAAGAACCAGAGTCACAGTTTTAGCCAATCAAAGCAGAGCAGGGCGGGTCCTTCAGTCCCAGAATGGAATCAGAACCGCAGGTAAACTAGTCAGCGTTGATGAGTTGATCGGACTTTTTCCAAGGAGCGCACCTCGACCTGCTACCAGAACCACCCGCCCTGCATGAAGGTAAAGTTATGTAATAAATCGTTAAAGTCTCAGCAAGACCCGAYGTGATTTTCCTACAGCGGGAGGGGAAATTTTGAGGATTTCTTCTCTCTATACACGTTTTAAAACGCTATATTTCTTCATTTATTTTCACTATCTTTCAAACTCCTCCTGCTCAGTTGATCTGTCGTCTGCTCATAGGTACTGGGTGTTCAGGTCCTGGGGCAGAGTGGGGACCACTATTGGAGGCAACAAGTTGGACAAATTCCATGACAAAAACTCTGCTATGGATAATTTCCTTAGTGTTTACAAGGAGAAAACGGGAAACGAGTGGGGCTCCTCCAACTTCACCAAGTATCCCAATAGGTTCTACCCTCTGGAGATTGACTACGGACAGGTACGCCCCGGTGTTCGAAGCTCGGAAACACATATCTTATAAGGTGTTGGGTGTCTGAGATTTGTTTGCGATGTTTTCAGGATGAGGAGGCAGTGAAACAGTTGACCGCTAGCGCTGGCACCAAGTCCAAGCTGCACAAACCGGTTCAGGACCTGATCAAGATGATCTTTGATGTGGAGAGCATGAAGAAGGCCATGGTGGAGTTTGAGGTAAGATCTCCTTTCAGCTGGAGGTCATCGTGACTTTGTAGTTTCCAAGTATTTTGTTTGTGTGAACGCTGACAGTTGTTTTCCTGATGTCATTTTATTTATTTTTATTTCTCTGTATGTTTTACTCAGTGTAAATAGTTTTGCCGTATTTGTGCTACTTTAGCCATTTATATGTCAACATATTCAGCTCATAAGTAAACTGCTGCTATGACTTTTAGTTGTTGTAACTTTTATACATTCACTTTAATTCTGCTGCATTTAGCTTTGAGACAGCCTTTTGCTACTTTTACCTACATCTTTGCTGCTCTTAGCTAACCTTGTGTTGCTTTTATCCGTTTATTTAGTCTTTTATCTAACATTTTCTTAACAGATAGCTAGCCTTTTGCTACATAACTTAAGCTGCTTTTATCTAGTGCTCTGCTACGTTTACCTTTTAGTCAGGGTTCGAC